AATAGACACCTATTGGTCCCGCGCGACTTCGAAGCGTTGAACGAGCCAGCCAATCGGACCGCAAACATCCGGCTACTGATTGGAATCCAATCAACCAGAGCAGGTTTAGCTGAGGGAGTCAGGGCAATGCCAACACCAGCTTGGCCGGTGCTCGAAGCTGCATCGTCACCGGATAGGCGCAATGAAAAAATACTGCTAGTGTCACCTGAAGGGGATCGCAGGGTGAGCACAGAGCTCGAGTCTTGCAGGTGGGTCTCCGATAAGCAGTAGATATCGATGGAGAAGGTCTCTAAAGTTCAGGCAAGTGCTATTTTTTAACTGATTTGTAGTAATGTGCGTACATTGATGCGTGTCAATCTGAAGGAGGATCGATAGCGCCAAATAGAAGCCGATAAACTGGAGTGGACTGCACGGTTGGACATGGGCCTGCCGACAGGACAGGAGTGACGCTCCTTGTTTGCATTCGAGTTGAACCTAGAAGATAAACGCCCATCAAAGTATTTTGGGGGAGAGCCAAGAATCGGGCGGTTTAAGACTGGGGGGATAAAAGTGAAGTTGGAACGAGCCCTTAAGGGGGATGAAGCGTAAGAGTGGGAATAAAAAGGCGGGAAGGCTTGAGCAGTAGCATCCAAACCTCTATCCACCCTGCTCGATGCAGCAGATAGGGCACTGTTGATTATCCTCTGCGGTGGCGAGAGCATCAAGATGTTAGATGGAAAACTCTTGGTTTATTGCGTGGGCAAAATACTGTCAGGTTGTCCAGGCCTAGACAGGAGAACGATTAGGGTTCTCAACCAAAGCCCTTGGTTCAAAAACCTGGTCGCAAAGCAGCGGGTTTGGCGTTGGGCTTCAAGGAGTCCGTTTTAAGGAATAAGGTGTCACCCTCATTCCAACCCCCAACCTGGAGGACCAGGAGGCTGCGGTTGTCTGGCCTCTAACCATTGACCAATCTGGTATGATTTTCTCTGAAGGTGCAAAAGCACCACCTAGCATAGCTCGATGGATCGCTGATGCACACAAACCATCGCACCACGGTAAGGTCCAGCCTCATTGCAATGGGTTACCAGATCCAGACATCTCGTGTTTTCAGTGCCCGTGTCCATTCGGATTTGTCCATTGATCTGTGTCATTTGGACTAGTTTGTCTGCTAACCGTATAATGAAATCGTCTACCGACCGGTGGCCGAAAGCGTTTCGTGCCTGGCTTGCAATCCTTAGGTCACTGGTTCTTATTCGCATAGGGGCGGACGTCCTCTCGGTATTCTCAGCTTACGCTGGACCTGTGATTGGGGTCGCGTAGCAGCGAAGCGTCGGTACAATTTTCTGGCATACTGCTGATGACCTTTTTATAGACTAAGGACAGCACATGTTCGTCCTCCTTATTGTGTCCCAGGCACGACGTCCATGAAGTTTATTTGTCCTACTTAGGGCCGAGTTTACAATGCCACAGTGAGAGTGGTTCTCCTCTAAAGCTGCGAGACGGCGTGTTCGCGCAAGGATGTTTAGCGGCTGTCTGCTTTGATGATCGCTGCCTTCAGAGCGTTGCTTTTGTATGATTTCAACATCTCACTAGGAATGAAGATATTCGACAAACGATTTTCCGATCAGACAGAATTTGCCGGCCACTGAGCAACATTATTTCTCTGCGCAGACTTCAGTGGCTTGGGTACGTTCTCCGCATGCCTACTCATCTCTTATCTCGCCGTGTCGTCTTCGTGCACGCAGAAGTCGGCTGGAAGCGAAAGCAAGGTGGCCAACGTATGACTTGAGCCAGGAGTATGAAGGAGCTAAGTTCAAAGTTAATCGTGATCGGGCGCTCTCGGCTCCCTGGCAGGAGTGTGAAGGATTTGGAACACTTGGAAACGCTCCCGGATATATCAAGAAATGGTGCGCAATGGCGGACTTGTTGTGACTCACTATTTCCATGAACATCGGTTTTTCCCTCTATCTCCGCATGTTTATTATATTTTCCATATGTTGTGGCACTATGCCAATTGTACTATTGGCCGTGTTGAATATATATATATATATATATATATATATATATATATATATATATGTTGGGTAGCAGTCCACTACCTTGCCTTCGTATTTAGCGTTTTGTGTATGTCATCCTGATTTATTTAACAGACGCGATTCGATTTCGTATTCTCCAAGAATATTGATGTGCCACGGGGTGGTGCGGCTGTCGTCTGTTATTCACTTTTGAGTGGACAAGGTGGGCAACTCCCAGCGCCTTCGTACTCACTGGATTTCTCTGTTTCCATTTATACTTGATTTGGAACCGTTACCTAGTTTGTGTACGGCAGCTTCCTTGGAAGCGCATAAGTATCACCGGACAGGTCTGCGATTGTTTGATGCTAGTCGCTCATCCGTCACTTATTCTTGCTTAATACTTTTTGCACCAAGGCTCTTGGACACCAGATAACTCACTCTTCTAACCTCCATTGTTTAGCGTTCAACCCTTGTGCATGATCTAATACTACTGCACTTACGGCACTTTTATTAGATTTTTATTTATTGTCTTTTAACCGAATGAGAGTTTTTTCCCGCGCATTGTTTCAGATTATGTATTGAGTTCATTTGGTTTGTCACCCATCATCATGGACTGTGGCATTCATACAGTATTGCTCTGACCATCAAAGATACCTCGTTAAACCGTGACACCATGACCTCAGATCTTCCAGAATTTATTTAGGTGAATCTTCCGTATCGCATCCTCATTTGCCTCTTACGTCCAACTTTCATTTTTATTTTATTTAACCCTCGACTATTAACGGTTACCTGTTCGCCGTTTGCAATGATTGCTGCACCCCCTCTGACTTCACTCTGTTCGGTGCTGTCCTCAAATTGTTCGCTTGCTATCCTTCTAGATTGTTGTCAGTTGACTAGGTTCCTTCGTTAGTCCACACTCTACATAAATCTTGTTTGTGAATTTTATCCGGATGCGATAAGGCATATGCAAATCGACACACGTTTACACACGTGTCCTCGCCGTCTACAGTGCTCAGGCTCCAGGTTTTAAGGCCGATGTGCTTCATTTATCGCCGTTTATCTCATGTCTCTCACTCGCTACATATTTGCACAGCGCTCTCCGGATCTAGACTTAATGCTCCCAGTGGAATGAATTCCTCACTACTTTCGATTGAATATTCATAGGATATTTTGATCATTGAGATGCAGTACCGCGCATCCATTTGAGCCGATTTTCACAGTTTTTGTTGCTCCATCTTTAATGCCATCGGGTGAGCTGAGGACAAGGCATCATGTGCGCCTCATGTTTCAAAATTTCTGACCTGAACACAGCTGTTAACACCGAGATTTCTTTGAGTTAGGCTAAGCGACCTACACTCGAATTGACATTCATTGAGAATACATGTTGCTTCGGTGCTTGCTATCGACCTTAAGCATCACAAGTATGCCTGGCGTTATATTCTTAATGTCCTTTATTCAACCACAATGTCAAGACACGCTAGAGGTGAGAGGATGAACAATCATTGATGAAAGATGTATCTCCTTGGTCGGGAAAGTCCGGAGAGATTGCAAGTAGTACATCGGAAAGAAAAAGAGCGTCGCTGTCAAGGTAGAATCAATGATGAACTAAAATGGGAAAATATAGTTGTAGCTAATGAACATAAATGCCAACAAAGGGAATGAATTCGTTTGGAAGCAGCCCTCATAACACTTTGTACTCCTAAGGTCACGACTTTAAACCTGCGTAGGGGACCGGGCGGCCTTCACAGTATCTTTATCGCGATCTCGACTGGTGGTAGTTGCGCGGCAGCGAAACATCGGTGCTGCGTGCCTGCATACTACTGATGCATTGCATTGCATTTGCTTTGGGTGTAAGTGACGGTGATTTGTTTTCTTAACGCCAGCATCCATACACTCGCCACTTGTTTGTAAATTTTCACTGTACTACATAACCTTTAGGCATTCGAGATGTAACCTCGACGCCCCAAGTTCGAATTCCCGACTCTGCATCGATTTGGGTGTCCTTGTAATTGCTTAGCCTGTCCAAGGTCTCGCAGTTGCATGGTAGCTGGGCCTCGGTACAAACGCTGATGTGATGCTGAAACTGTGCTGTTCGTTTGTTGGCGCCTTCCTTTATAACTGTGATGTTCAGTCCCATAATTCTCGTGGCTTTTCGATGTTCATCTACCACTCATAGGCGTTTTGGATTCGACATAGCGTTTATTTGTCTTAACCATGAGCCTAACACGCTATTTTGCCTTTTCTAATACTGGACATCCATGCCAACCTCTATCTGTCTGTGATTTCTGTTTTAGCGGCTATCTCCCTTCAGCTTGATTTCAAGTCCACTCACATATCCTGTAAATCACTAGACTGCCGTTTCGTCCCATTGGGATTCGTCAGTTTTGCGAATCACTAAAGTCTACCGATATCACCTATGGTCTAGTGGCCTAAGCCACCGGCTACCGAGAGACCGTGAGTTCGGTTTCCATTAGACCTGGAAATGCACACTTCTGACTAGTTGCGGTAACGCGAATCGACAGTAAAACGGTATTCCTGATTAAGGAGAGATATCTGATTTAGAGACACTGTGAAGAACCTCCAATAATTTGCGTCACAAATATCCCGCCTACAAGTACTTCCCTTGCTACTTCATTGAGGCTTCGTCGCAGCGACTTTCTAACCAGATAGTCCTTAATATGCCGGGAAAAGCACCAGACTGCAATTTCTCACCTGTTGGACCTCATAAATAATGCGCATCCACCAGTTCCTTCAGGATTCGAACCCGTGAACACCAACCATTAAGTTATGCCAGGTGTTTCCATTTCCTGACAACCCTTATTTTGTATAGCCACATCTTCCGAACTTTCATAATCGTGGCACTTGATTTTATCCCTTAGTGCAACAATATGTCGTATTTCCGTTGTTCTAACGATATGTGACGGAATATTGTTGTGCTTGAAATTTTTGCTGTCTGTTTATTTCTAATTTGTCATTACCCTCTGTCTAATCTACTTTCTTCCCTAGGCTTCATTGTGCAGCAGCTGCGAACAGCTGAACCACCACCACACCAAATCAAGCTAGTGATGCCCAATGTACTTGGGCCCGGTCTCCTGTAGCCACACCACTACCCTGGGGGATGCATCTCTGGGGTCGTGTGCAATCTGGCGGTGCTCCGCTTGCTGCTCGCTGCAGCAATTAGTGGTGTTGAGTTTCTGGCAGCGGGGAGCAACACTGCGTTCAGTTCCATTTGAAGCAGCCAGAGTTACTTTTGGCAATCCGGCTAATACAGCACGGAGACGGACCCTGGTAAATGTGTACATTTCCTGTTATCTCTTCCAACAATGATAGGAAAGAATTCATGTACACACTTAAGAATATGTGCTAACTGGCTGACTTTGAGACAGGGAATATCATAATCTACGACAGTAGTCTGGGTCCGAAAACTAGTTATCGCAGCGTATACGAAACCTCAGTGGAACTCAAGCCGACCCGTTGTTAACGCATCACAGCGCGGCCGTGAAGATATATTCCGGATCGAGCGTGTGTTTTCGGGCCAGTATACATTATATACTGTTTGAGGCTGACATTACATCACTATGAGTCAAATGGGCCGGGGAACTTTCCGCTCTCCTGCAACCGTTTCCGCAAGTAGTTTTATTCTTGCATTGAATGTTCCATCGATCATGTCGGATAGGGGTTTGGATGGTACTGCTCGAGCCTTCCCGTCTTGATATTTCCCATGTTGCGCTTTTTCACCTTTTTGGCTCCGCCCCGACTTCATTTTTATCCCCCTCCGTTTTCAACCCCCGACTCTTGGCTCTCCATCTTTCTTCGGTAGGCGTTTATCTTCTAGTTTCAACTCACATGCAAGCGCGGAGCGTCACTCCTATCCCCTCGACAAACCCATGTTTAACCAAGCAGTCAAGCCTAGTTTTTCGGGTTCTGTTTGGAGCACCCGATCGTCTTTCAAGGTACGCAGATCGATCAACAGGTTGCGCTTGATCGATATCTGCCGTTTATCGGAAACCCGCTTCCAAGATTCGAGCACTGTGCTCGCTTCGCGAACCCCTTCAGGTGACGCTAGTAGTGCTTTTTCCTCGCGCCTATCCGATGGTGATGCATCTTCGAGTGCCGGACTAGCCGTTGTTGATATTGCCCACAGTCCTCGGGTTAAAGCTGTTCTGGTTGTTTGGATCCCAGTCAGTAGTAGTCGGATGTCTGTCGCCTGATTGGCTGACTCGCTCAAAGCTTCGAAGTTGTGCGGGGATAAGTGCTGTCTGTTTGTCATCGCTGCTTACGCCCCCACAAACTGTAACGATGATTTGGTGAGCGACAACCTCTATCAACAACTGAACGAGCTCCTTCGTCACAGAAGAAGCACGGACACTGTAGTGCTGACTGCGCATCTGAACCTTCAAGTTGGAAAATTACCCACTGATGAGCTGCATCTGTGCGCTCAACATAGTGTAGCCTCCCGTACTGATCAACCTGTCTGGATTCCGATCACACATTGCTTCGCGCTATGTTATGCATGCGTTTCGGAGGACTGCACAGACGTACGCACTATCGACCGAACGTAGAAAACCTACAAGGCCCTACGACATTAGGCAAATACCAGGCCTCCCTGTCAACACTGCTTACCTCAGCTTCTGATGATGATCTGAATTCGCATTGGTATCTGCCAGCATTGATGGTTGCAGAGTCATCCATCTCCCCGCCAAAAAGCTGGATCACTGCTGTCTCCTTGTCGCTGATGGACAGACGCTGTTTGGTCTTGGCCGATTCTGACTATAGCGAAGAACGATGATCCCTAGATCGAGAATTGCGCAGGCGTCCACAAAAGGGCGGTGAAACCTGGTGGTGTGAGCGTGCTAGAGAGATGGCACTCGCTATCCTTTCTGGTAGTACCAGAAAACTTTTCCATCTTTTCCGAGTCACCGGAAGTTTCCGATCTTATGTATGCGATGCAATCTGCGAAGAGGATGGTCCACTAAGCACCAATCTACAACGACGTTTGAAACGATGGGCTGAACACTTTTGCTCGCAGTTTTTCTGGTCGCCAACTCCATCTACTTCCCCTTGAGCGCTTACTGGTGCTGAGGGGTTTGTCCCTACAGATCCTCCCTCTCACTAGGAAATTTGGCATTAACTCCGCCTTTTGCAGCGCTATAAAGCACCCGGCTCTGATGGCTTACCTCCCGCCCTATTTAGAGTGGATGGCCATTCGCTAGTTCGAAAACTCACTGCTTTGATTTCAGAAGTCTGGTTGAAAGAGGAGGTTCCATTATCTTGGGATGAGTCAATAGTCGTCCCCATTTTCAGGAAGGCCTGTGCACAATGTACTCCAACTACAGGGGGTTTCAGCCTGGTTCCAGTCGTTTGCACGGATCTGGTGTCCATCATACTTCGTAGACTATCCCCAGTGCGCGAATCACCACAGCGGGAAGAACAGGCTGGGTTCCGTCCCAGCCGCGGCTGCATCTAGCAAATTTTTACACTCCGCCAGATCCTCGAGCTCCGCCATGTGTACCAAAAGCCAGTGATTGGTGTATTTCTGGATATCGGTGATGCCTTCGATCCTTTCGACAGGTCTGCATTATGACACTTTGTTGAAGAATGATCTCCCCGGGATGTTTGTTTCCGTACTGCGTGCTATGTGCAGTCTGACCTCGGGTAAAGTTAGAGCTTATGGCAAACTTTCGACTTCCTTTGTTGTCACCAGTGGAGTCCGACAGGGATGCCCTAACTCCCCGTTCTTTTTCAATTTTGTGTTTGAGGATGTCCTTATAAATTAACTGAGCGCTGGCATTGAGCTGCCCCCAGGTAGCCGTGCTGTTGACTAGGATTACGCTGATGATATACTCTTGCTGGGTGACGGTCCACAGATCGTCCAATTTGCACTCAACCACTTGGCGATTGAAGCGTCAGAGTATGGGATGGCTTTTCCAATCTGAGTGCAAAGTTGTTTTCCAAGACTTTCAGATCTCTGTACCTGCACTCACTCTTGCTGGTGAGACACTGGAACTTACAAACCTAGGAAGTTGCATCACACCTGGTGGAGCTGTTAGAGCCGAGATTTCAATGCATATCTCAAGAGCTCGCCTCGGTCTCTTCAAGCTAAAACACTTGTTGCGCCGCCATGACATCCGTCTATTCATCAAAGAGCGGGTTTATTGTGCAACTCTCCGCGCTGTACTGTTGCGAGACTTGGCCTGTTCGTACCGCTGACTTGCACCGACTGTCTGTCTTAAAACACAGTTGTTTGCGGTCCATTACCCATGTCTGGTGGCTGCACCACGTAACCAATGTGGTAGTTAGACAGTGTCTTGCTTGGAGACAACCACTCGGTCGAGGAGCTCATCCCGCCGCGTCAGTTGTGGTGGCTTGGACACGTACTTTTTGCATGCCCGCTCATCTTCTTCCGTGTCGGGCCTTGTTCGCAATTGCTGGACAGGGCTGGAGGAGACGGTGCGGTAAACAACCTACAACATAGAATGCCACATGAAAGCTGACGAAACAGTTGGCCTCCGTCGGTTGTTCTCGATTCCCTGATTGGGATTTCAGATACACAATGTCGCTGGTTGGAAACTCTGGAAGTTATGGCTCAGGACCGACATCTATGGCGGATGTGTATATATGCGTGTGGCAGTAATTTCCACTTCCTTCCCCATAAAAAATTATAAAACCTACAAAACTGTAAGTGAAAAATAGTGAAGAAAAATGTTTCATGTTCTTTTTCTTCCTATTCGTATCCTGCTTTCTTATTCCGCCATGATTCTGATGGCACAATATCTGTACCACGGATATATATATATATATATATATATATATATATATATATATATATATATATATGGTGATCGATTAATTCATCTGTGTGATGATGCTCGCTTACTTCTTACGAGCACAAACTTCCGACACAGCACTCGCCGGAAGGTGACATAGCCCCCACCAGCCTCGAACCAACCATGGATGCAAATCGCTGGATAGGCGGCGTCCAAAACCGTCGCTCGATTTGGAGCCCATGTGTGGACTGATTATTGGTTGGAAGCAGCAAGTATAGTTTTCTTTGTGTAACTGCATCTAATCTCACTCTGGGAAAATGACCCATTATGTTGTGTTGCGCTCGATATATTTTATGTCGGCAAAATGTTTGTCCAGGAATTCCTTACATTCCGACACCGACTTTGCCTCAACTACGTGCTGCGGCAGATCATTTCATACATTCACCACTCTGCGTTCGAAACAGAGTTGGTGAGTAATCCGCTTCAAATCCGGTACGACAAGATTGTACCGGTGTCCTCGTGTGCTGATTGGTGGGCGCAGATGAAGCAGCGGCCTTAACATGGCGTAATCGCCCAGATGTAATATCTGGTGCGTCATGATGAGGTCAACCCTCAGTCGAGGATAAGCTAGGGTGTACATCCCTAATTTCTTACACCGGTCTTCGTACGGTACACATCGTAAGTTAGGAATCAGCCTGGTGGCTACATGCTGCACTCGCTCAATCTTTTCTACCTCTCCCCGGGTGATAGAACAATACGCAGGATTGCCGCACTCTAGCGTCGGTCGTATTATTGAGACAAAGAGGCGAGTGGCATCCTCTCCGGACCAATTGCTGAAGCTGCGCCTGAGGGCCCAAAACATACGAAGGCTGTTTTGGTAAAGCCTATTCGTGTTGTTTATGTACTTTAGGTCGTAGTGTGAGAGTACACCGAGGTCTCGCACGAAAGTCGCGGGATGCAACGGTTGACCCACCACCGTGTATGTTCGACTTTGCTCACACTTATCCAGCCTCATGTATTGCGACTTGACCGGGTTGATCGGAAGGTTGACCTCGCAGACCACGTGGAGAGGCGGTCGAGGTCTTGCTGAAGCAGGTCACCATCATTGGGTGTGCGGATTACTCTCCACACCTTTAAGTCATCTGCGAACTGCGCACAAGATGATTGGAGTTGCTGAGGCACATCGTTTACATGTATCAGAAACAAAATCGGCCCCAGTACAGTGCTTTGCGGCACGCCACTGCTCGATTGATACCAGTCGGACAAATAGTTGTCCACCTGGACCCTCCACTTTCGATCAACAAGGAAATTCTTGATCCATTGTTGCAGTGAGCCGCCAACACCTCACATCCTCAGGTTGTTGAGGAGCACTGCATGATTTACCTTGTTAAAAACCTTACTGAAGTCAATGTAAATGACGTCGATTGATTTACCTTGGTTCAGCGCTTGTAACCATTCGTGCCACGTCAACAGTAGGTTGGTGATGCACAAGTGACCTTTCAACAAATCATGCTGTGCGGG